GCTCCTCCAGCAGCAGCATAGACATGGCAGATGGAGGAGCCACAGCAGGAGGTGCTGTTGAAAAGTGGAGCATTTTCACTCCACGTCCTCTGGTCCAAAAGTCGACCTCTGACCTGGGATCTGATGGTTCTAGTGGAGGTAAATTAACAATGAGTGTTTTATCAAATATTTAAAACTAAAAGGTGGCAAAGTTAGTTAAAAAAACTAAATAAAGGTTTTCCAAGTTAATGCTAAAAGATACTTAAATCAGGTAAATTAAAGCTAAATAGATAAAATGTTACACATAAATATTTTTTCTCTAATAGCTGTGAATGTGTCATGGTGTATGGGGCGTTTCTCTGGATCTTTGGACAAGCTGAATTTTGGGAAACATTTTTTTTCCTTTCTCCCATCAGCCTTTGCTCTGCAGCCGTACCGTGGCGCCCAGAAGCCAACGCCAATGGAAGTGATGAAGTCCCAGTCCACTCGTCGCACAGACGGTTCCACCTTTCCAAACATGGCTCCACCAAAAATGGAGATCCCCACGGTGGAAGGTCGGCATCAGGGAGCTCGACCTCACAAGTTAAAACCACGAGACATGAACATCCTGATGCCATCGGGTTTCTAAAAGGAACCGTGCCAGGTATTCTGTGTGACAGGGGTGCAACAGTGAGGTACAAAAGGTCATATAAAATGAATGTGTGTCATCAGGTGCCCACATGTCCATGTGTTACCACATGTCCATGTGTTTCTGTTACTGTTACTTCCTTCGGTTCTGCCTTTTCTATCAAAGAACAACTTACTTCATTACAGCAGTCTTGTCTCAATCTGATTCATTCCCTCTAGTTATCACACATTTCCATAATGGCCAGTCTGGCTACAGTACCAGGAACTTTGAGCAGCAGATACTACTTTTAAAGTTTCCTTGTGATTTTTTGTTTTCACCCACACATTTCTCCAGTCACTTTTCAGAAATCTACAAAAACGTAACCTTTTCTCCTCTATCCTTCAGCTGAAAGTCACTCGTTGACAAGACCGTCATTGGTGGGTGTGAGCTGTGTAAAAATAGTTGTTTGCTGCCTCGAGTTTAAAAAAAAAAAATTTGGTATACCATATAAATGGTATAAATTGTCTTGAGTGGTTAGACTGTCGTGGTCAAGACAATTACGAAAAAAAAAGATACAACAGCCCTTAAATCATGAAAAAATATCTAGTTTTTTTTTTTCCATAACCTTTTAGATTTGTTTTAAATCATTCCAAATATCCACTCGTTATCAATTTAAAACGTGTATCTGTAATGTGTTGTGTTTAAAACAAGTAAGCTCTCCTCCCTGCAGTGGAAACATGTCTTAACTGATTTTAAATTGTAAAAAAAAAAGAAAAAATATCTATATATTATTACTTTTTTAAAAAGCAGCATTTTCTGAAATATGAAGGAAAAATCAGTTAAAAGTTTGTGTAACTGAAATAAACCAATAATAGAAACTACTCCAAAATAAATAAATAAAAAAGAAACATACAAATATACAAACAAAATGTATGAACATTCCAATGTGTTTGTGTTGAAAATAAGAAATATTCCTCTTTTGTTTTTTTATGCTTAAGCACGGCTGTGCACTGGATACATTATTTTATAAACAGTGGATGACTATAACCAGTAGATATAAATTCTGGCTGTGGTTCACTGATGGAACTATTCTGAACTGTACTTATGACTGAAGTTTTGATGTAAGTCGCCCAGTGGTTGACTTAAAAACGTGCTCGAAGATATAATGATATAAAAACCTATTTCCTTGCTGTTACTGTTACCTCTGCACTATATAATCTGTTTAATGCGAAATGTGTGTGTTTTTGAAGGTGTTTAGCTGGTTTTAGCTAAAAGCTACAAATATATTTTGTTTGACCAACAGCTGCAACGAGGTATTTTCCCTTTTTTCTGATGTATAATTTTTCTTTTTTAAAGAAAAATTCCTTACTTATTTCAACATTGGCGACAACTCGGTGAACTCACAGTTCAGTCCACTTGACACCACTCTGTGGTTTGTGATGTGTTTGCAGACACCTGTTGGATGTTAGTGCAGTCTTTATTGTTGTGATCACTTCAAGTTGATGTTGCTTAAGTAGTGGCAATGTTGTGTTTATGACTGTTGGATTTCCTTTGTCTGACAAGGCACAGTCTCACTCCTGTGTTTTGTTTTTTTTTTATCAAACGTGTGTGTGTGTTTGTGTGTGTGTGTGTGTGTGTGTGTGTGTGTGTATATGCCCACTTTCTGCCACTGACTGTAGTTATGATTATAAGATGACTGAAACCCTGCTGTTACATACGGTATATTTTTATTGTTTGTGTCATGTGGTGTCCCTTTAAATCTCCTGAAGAGCCTCCACGTCTGCTCTGTGAGAGACTGAATTTCTGTACTTTATTTATCTCATTAGCATTAAGCAACACTCTTCATGATTCCTGCAACTAACTGTTGGTTTTCGTTTTTCTGCTAAAACAGTGCGAAATTGAAATAAATGTTACAATGTCATTTCAGAAACACGAGTAAGCACTTCTCTGTGAACAATTTATTTCATTAGCATCTGCGCTCAGTAGTGCCTGGTGCGGCAGTGTTTAGAATCCTCTAATGTTATCTTGCAAATATTATTCACAGATTTGGTTTCCAGTTAACTTTTGTTAATACTATAGTGTTTTTGATCAATAGGACATGTTTTAAGATTTAAAGAAAATACAATTTTCTTTGTGAGTCTAAATGGATAGAAAATTGACTTATTGTATCACAGCTTCACTGGATGAAAGTGGATATTCAACATTGGCCAAAATTGTGTGAATGTCCGTTTTAACAGTTGGTTTTAACACTTGAGACATGAGCACTATTGTGTTTAAAATATAGACTTTTATTTGCTTAAATTTAGTTTGGATTTTCAAGTCACTGACACGTTTCTTAGTCATCTGTATTAATAGATGTCAAACACTAGAGGGCATCAGTGTATCCTCTGTTACAATTTGTCTGCTTTATTCTTTTTGTCAAATCGATTTTTTTAATTTAATTTAATCAGCTGGCCCAAGAATATAAGAAAAGTAGTTTTTTTAACTTTATTAGGAAAGGGTCTTCATGCAGTCGACAGAACACACATGAGAAGATTGTTGCACAATTTCAGTTGTCGTTCACCTCCGTGTGAAGAGCTGATCATTTCATACTTCATCCAGTCAAAGTCTCTTATTTATAACCAAAGAGGAAGAACATCCAGGTCGTTCTGAAATGTCCAGAAATACCATTAAAGTGATGAATGAACACATGGAACATCAAACTGAGTTTGATTGATTTTCTTTTAAGTCAAAAAAACAAGGCAAGATGCCACCTTCACTTTACAGCCAAAATGTCCCTTCACTTTGGTTTGAAGCCAACAAAGTCAAAAGAATTATAGCCATTAAGACTCCACAAACATAAAATGTATAATTTGGGAACTTCAAGTCACAATATTTCTAGCTTAACAGTATTGCGTTAGGCGTTGTGTGTTTCTGCATTTACCGTGGATGTAGAAAATCAAAAGATTAATCTTTGACACGTGTGGAAGACGAGTTTGGAAGCCCTTTGTAACTTTGAGTTTGGTCTCCCATTCGTGAAGTTTATTTACTTCCATCTTGCCCCTTCATTTTCTTAAGATCCTAGATCAAAATGTTGATTGTATCAGGCTTAGTATTCGGTCCAAATAATGGACACAGACTAGTCTCTGATCTGGACCTTTAGCAAGTTCTCTACAGTTAAAGTCTTCGTGTCATCTGTAAATCCTCTGAAATTGCTGATGCAGGTCGTGATCCAAAACAAACGTCCGGATGGAGGAGCTTATTTGATAAAGATCAGCAAATCTGACAGATTACAGGACTCCACCTTTTCCTTGAAGTACACCTTTAGGAGAACATGTTGATTTAAGGTAAACTAATGTGTAGACAGTGGACAATAGTCAACATCCAACCATCTGACCTCCAAGTTCTGTCTTAGTGTTCAACTTTGAATTGTAAATAATCCTTTTACTGCCCATAGAGCAATTATCAGGGTCACATCAGACCTTCCCGACCCATTCTCTCTCTAAACCTGTTGGCCCGTCTTCAGAGACTCCCTCTTCCTCCATCTCCACCCTTCTTCCGGATCTCTCCGTACATCTTAAAGAACAGCTCCATCTCTCTCTGTAGAGAACTGTTTCGTCGGTCAGCATCAGCTTTGGCTCTCTCCATGTTGCGTATCTTGATCTCCGCCACACTTTGGCTGCGCTTCTGCTGCTCCAGACTGATCCGCAGCACTGCCACCTGGCGTTCCAGGACATCATTACATCGCTCCAGTCTGCAGTAGAAACATGGGTCATATAAACATACTTACAGGATTTTGAGAACAGCATGGAATTGGTTGGTCTTGGTTCTGTTAATTTACCTCTGTATCCTGGCCTGGTACTCTGCCTCCTGCTGGGCCATCTCTTGCTGAAGTTTTGCTAAGAGAGATTGAGCATCTCTGGACTGTGTCAGCAATTCTGGACGATGGAGATCTGGAGGCCCGGAGGGGAGGAACACCTCAGAACTGCCCGTACTCAGAGGACTCCCGAAGACCATCGAGGCTGGAGAGTTAGGATGGTTGACGCTTTCATTGTCGCCATCTTTCTCGGCATCGTCATACTCATCATCGGTATTGTTGGTGGGTTCAGGTTTTCCATTTTTTTCCTCTTCTGCTGTTTGGCCTGAAGTGAATCCTTCAGGTTTCTGTAGTAACATGAAGGGGCTCACTGGCTCCCCAACAGTACCGCTGTCATCCAGTGGTAGAAACTCACAGGAGGACCACGATGAGGAGGACTCTCTCGTCTGCCTAGCTTCCTCCAGCTGTGCATCATCTACACAGTTTCCAGAATGGCATTGCTGAGCATCACCGTCACCATTAAAACGTTCATCAGCAGCATCCTCCATCCTTTGTTCCGAGGAAACTGTGTCTACATTCTCATAAGCAGAAGGTGTGCTGTCCTCCTGGACCTCACTGTGCTCCTTTCTTACCTGCTCTGCATCTTCTCCAGCCACCACAGAAGAAGAATCCCAAAACTCTGAATGATCCTCCTCTGGCCCTGGCCACACCTTTGTCCATCCTGCCAGCACCAGTCTGGGTAGAACACTGTCCTCTGGTGCCTCTTGATGCTGGAGGCTTGTGGCAGAAGTTTGAACGTTTGATGACGATGGTCCTTGTTCAGCAAAATCCTGGTTGTACTCTGCAAGTCTTTTGGAATGGTACTGGTGAGGAGACTGAGTTGATGGTGGCAGAGGGAAGAAGCAGTTCTCTGGGTGGGAGGAGGTGTGACGATGACCACGGAGTCTTTTCTGAGCCCAGGACGAGTCTGAGTTGGCAGCAGAAGAGTAGGCACAGCTACGAGAACAAAGAAAACCAGGTTAGAGTTGACCATTGTTTTTGCTGTACTATAAGCACTGACTTCCCGACAACAGAATGTGGTTAAAGGTTCAATGGTGTCAGGTTAGTGTAATTAGTATTGGGAAATGAAAATGATAGTTGGTTAGGCAGGCAGGTCCGACACAGACGGCCAGTGTTAGAGGTTCATCTGAGGTGATGGTCATCTGAGCCTTTAAGCCACAGACAGCACCTAAGAAAGGAACAGTTGGGAAATGTATGACAAAGTTTATGGTTTATATTATAATTTCTTCTATTATTATATTTCAAGTCATTTTCTGTTTTGTAAAATGACTGCAGTGTCAGTACCTTACCTGTGGTTGAGTGCATCTGTGGAGGATTGTTCAAGTTCTCGTGAGGGTCCTGCAATCAGGGGCATGGAGAGCTGGCGGAGGCAGGGTGACAGGTGCAGGTGTGGATGCCTCAAGGGCGTTGGAGATGCACGGGAGCCTGCGGGTGGGTGACTGAAGACAGGTGGGGCTACTTTAGCAAATAGTGACTCGTGACTTCTGATGAACTCTAGCATCAACACATGGACCAGTGCTGCACCTGGGACAAAGGCAGGAGATAGAGATGATATTCTTGACAGTGAACTTTATAACTGCCTATTGAATAGGTCCAAAACCCATGTCGCCTGACAACTCCCTTTATGACAAGATGTACCTCCCATGATGCTTTGAGGGTCTTCAGCTTTGGCTCGCATGATATTTGGTCCAAAAACAGTGGCCAGGTTTTGGTCACCCATTTTGTTGCTGCCAGAGTAACTCTGCACCTCATGCAGAAACCTGAGCACAAAGGCACCATGAAAAGTGAGCGACCTTCATGAATGTAGGCTTTAAAGTGAAAGTAATGTGTGTCCATTTCTGTTCTGATAAAACATCATCCTTACTGGCAGATGAAGTTGAGAAGGTTGAAGTTTGCAACTGGCAGCTCATGGAGAAGGTTCCTCAACTCCTCCAAACCCTAAAGATTGAATAACAACTCATTGTGTTCAGTGAAGGTCAACATGGCCACATGTCCAATTTAACTAAAGTCCAGCAGCAGTTTTCAGCCCAATTGGCTTGATGTTACCTGTGCGCGATCACTCTTCAAATGTTGTCCACACAGGAGGAATTCCTGGTAGCGGTTGTAAGGGATCAGAGGCTCAGGCAGCTGTCTGAGGTAAAGCTTCAGCAATGATGCCACGGTGTGGACGTCGGTGCTACTGCAGATAATGTGAGACATCAAAACATTTTACACAGTTATATTACAAGTCGTGAAACGATTAGGGAGGAAAGGTTGTACCTGTCGAAGGACGGCCTCTCTCCTGCATCGAAAGCCTCCTGCAGCTCTCTCACCAGACTGGCCTGACCCGGCTGTCGGAACAAGCCCACCTCACACAGACCATGCTCCCGTATAAAGGACACACACTGCTCCACCACTAGGGGAACCAAACGCAACCCATAACGACGTTCATACAACACAGTCTCCTCCAGACTCTGTCCAAAGACCCCTGAGAGATGAGAAGGTAGATGAGTCTTCATCAACCAAGGACTGTCCATATACACCTGGGGTCATCTTTTTGTCCAGTAGAGGGCAGAGCTCCTCAGTATTTTTCATTCAATATAATTGTATTTTGGGGGACATTAACCTGCGATAATCTTCTGGTTTAAACGACCTCAAGATTGACTAAAATCTCAGCCTGTTTAGTTGAAGATAACGCTGATTTACTGGCAGGAATTGAAGAAAGACATTCACAAAGATCTCTAACAGCTTTCATTATCTTAGACACGGCAGTGGTTGGGATTCACTGCTGTAGGACACGTATTTGTTTCACGTTGGACATTGTGAGACTGGGAACACTTCTTACAGAGAGAGAACCTCAATTTATGGACACGTAAGGTAGAAGAGCCGTCGAGCCGGCTTGTGGAATTGATTAAATTAAAAAGTAGAACGTTCTCTGGTCTCAGTGTGTACCTGTGAAAGGGATCCAGACCCCCTTGTTGAGACTCTTCAGCCACTCGTCGCCCTGACCAGCACTGTTGGACAGGAAGAAATACGAGCCTGGACTCGCCAGCACGTCCCTGTTTCCTGCACGCACATAAACATTTCCAAATTTGCTTTCAAGTACTAGGCAGGTACAGTATAGTACATACAAAGTACTGCATCCGTACACTTTCCTATACAGTATACACACAAAGTACTGCATCCGTACACTTTCCTCGGCACTCCACTCTCAAGATGCAACACAGCCAGTCGCTCAGTCAACCCCAATGGGCTCCAAACACCCTGAGTCAGCATTTTACCACAAGGGCAGAGTCACAGTGAGGAAGGCATTAACAAGTGACATGTAGATGGTTTCAGTGTGTTCTCCTTACCTTTGTGGCCTGTACTGTCATGTTTCCAGGACTTGAAGCAGCTGAGTCCCATGCTGCAGCCCGATGTTTGGTGCTGAACTAATCCTGATGATGAAACTGATTTTTTTATTTATCCCATTAGACTCTTGTATTGAGGCATGCTGGAGGACAGTTTATATTTTCTGCCAGACACTTGACCCTAAGTTATTCTTCATCACACAAGTCTTGTGACATGGGACGGGTGGGGTTCAGGAAAAGCATCCAGTTGAGTTGTTGATGGAGGAAAGCCTTCAAATGCAGGTTTTTGGTTGTAATTGAATCTGTCTGGTGCATAGATTCTCAGAGAAACTCTTCAGTCCTAAATGTTTGTCTGGTAAAAAGAAAAAGGATTTTATGGATGCAGTGATCTAGGTTTAAAGAAAAAGGATTTTATGGATGCAGTGTCTTTAAAAAAGGTGCTTTGACATGAGATACCTGACAGATGAGTTTTCATTTACCTTCCAGGTTAAAGATTCCCAAGATGAGGAATTGGTGCTGGATGATAAAACCTACAGGAGTTTAAAAACATCATGGGAAAGGTATAGAATGGACACTATTTTTGAAGAATCCACGACAGAGTGCAGAACCTCAGGTCATTTCTCAAATATATGCCGGTATTCTTATTGTTTTTGATTGGCATTCAAAAGGATTTTCTTTCTATTTCAATAGAAAGTGATGATAAGTCCTGTACAGCAGGGTCTCCTCCAGTCTGATCATACTTTACTCACACTTACTGGAACAGCTCCACTCGTGAAACTGTTCTTTGAACAGTCTTTTTGTGATTGATACAGTGGATAAAAATGGATCGGCCTCATCGTCAGAGAACCTCCACCACTGAACCACTAGTTTCTGATGATTACCTGGACCATGAGGCTTAGAACATGTGAAGGAACGACCACAAAAAACATGTCCTTAAATCCCTGATCCCTGCTCAGAGTTCATTTGTTGGTTTGATGCTTTATTGAGGACAGATTGTGCAGACAGTTTCTCGTTGGCTGAAGCACCAGGGCTGAGTTGCCTGAATGTGTTTGCTTCGATTGTAGCATTTTCCACGTCTTCTTCTTTCAGTGGTTCAGCGACCGTCGAATCCAACCAGTCCATCGTCCAACCACACATTCTCAGTATTCCCTTGGGTGTCCTGCCTTTTGTCCATCCTCCTCCTCCTCCTCCCCGTCTCCTTTTCCATGTCCTTCACTTCAGGAGCTTTTTACTGGACATCCCGCTCCATGTCCTGAACAGTTTCCACAGATGACTGTGGACGTCTTTGTCCTCTCTGTCCACTCTCTTCCTCCTTCCTGTGCCTTTCTATCTGTCTCCGTCCATGTCCATCTCTTTGTCCCTGGCCAGTCTGTCCTCCCCAGTCATTCCCTCTATGTCCCACTGTCTTCACCCTCCTCTCTCTCTCTCTCTCTCTCTCTCTCACTCTTGTTCGCAGCAGTGTGTGTGCCCCGTTGCCCCCACCCCATTTAACTCATCAATAACCATGCTATCAGAGTGTGTGTGTGTGTGTGTGTGTGTGTCGGCTGTGCATTAGGAAAATTGGTTCTCTGCGACGCAGAGCTGTTTTACTAAAGTAATCATAGCCGATGGTGAGAGAGAGAGGGGAGGGGGAGAGAGAGGATCTGACTTGAAATCTGCTGCTCCTGAATTATGTGCACGTGCACACACACACATGCACTCAAACGTACATACACACACCACACACGGCCAACATGATTCAAGTGGACATTAAAGTGAGAGAGGCCAGTCTGTCCAGTCCACTCTTGAACTCAATTATACCATCAGCCCTCCCTCTGTGTCTCTGTCTCCGTCTCTATCTGTCTCTCCCTCTCTCCCACTCTTTACAGTTACCCACGTTGGTCTCTACTTCCAAACCCTACACAGTATAACCAGTAAAACCAAATCGAAACACGTTACTAAGAAAATACTGACATTTTTATGGAACTCAACTTTTAGCTAACCTCAAGTTTTGTCCTGTTTCTGTGTTTACCTAACATTGATAGTAGCTAGTTTTGCTAACTAAGAGTTAATACGTGTAGGGTCTCATTTTCCAAGAAGCCTCTTTGATGAGAGGTGAAATATGTTTAAAAAAAACTTACTTCATCCAGTTGCCCTTGATGTAACTATCTTTGTTTTAACCAACAGTTCAGTTTTAAATACCTGGCAGTTAATTTTCACTATCATTTACGGCAGTTTCAGATTTTTCCAGAAGTTAAGCTAACACGATTGGAAGCCAGGCACATGCCCCGCCATGCTACCCATACCTGGCTAACGGCTAACTGGAGAAATAGCATTGACAACACAATTAGGATCACATGTTGTATGTTGTTTTAAAGGGTATTTGTGGGGTATATTTTACTGTAGTACAGTCTGTTCTGACTGTTTCTGTGTCGAACTGACTGAAGTCTAATCACAGCTGAGAGCTTTCATCTGTCTGTCAATACAACTGGCGCTGCTACTCTTCATTATAAAGTGCTGCGTGTTTGGTTTTTTTTTTTTTTTTGTATATCTGTGTATGTGTGTGCGCGTGCGTGCGTGCTCTCCACTAAATTAAATTCATCACTTCAGTCTTTGCTTCACTCTGACTTCATGTGGTGATAAATCACACACATGGGAATGTTGATATGCTGCAGCGGTCAGGGAAAAATGGCCCTAACAGAGATAAAGGTCAACAGTAGCACCATCAAGCGGTGGTTCGCAGAACTTACAACTACTCAAGTTAAAGAGTAAGACACAAGTGCTTTAGGTTTCCGTCTTAAAGTGATACAAGTTGGAGAAATGTAATAAATCTAGTAACCGATTGGAAAATAAATTATATTTCATTATTTTATTATATGTCTCTATATATTATATATACAGTATATAGGTAGCTCATTATATATCTCTATATCTAGATATACTGTATAATGAGCTATTTAAAGCTAAAATTTGAAAAGAAAATTTATACACATAAAAGCAAATTAGTGTATGAAAACGTCAGCCAAAATGGAGCATCCTCTATCATCTGTAATTTTTATTATTATTAACAAAATTTTACGTTCCAAAAAGGTACTGATTGTACGTCTGTTCTTTCACTGAGTGAAATCTGACAACACCAATTAACAAGTTAGGGTTTATTTTCAGCAGCAGCGCTGTTGACCTGTTCCTGTCCTCATGTGTAAACCTTGTCGTAAATGTCATGTTATTAATTGTCCCGTGACCCCTCCTGCAGTACCTCAACAGACCCCTTGGGGTTGTGGATCACCTGTTGAAGACTTCTGCTGTGGACTTGACATGCCAAGTCTTGAGCCAATCTACTAGTTTGGACATCTTGTTTTGACACTGGATCAGAGAAGTCCAGGACCTGTGATTGGACAGTTTGGTTCTTATATAGTCTAGACTTTGTGTTGGACACACAGGACCTCTTCAAAATTGGCCCCAAGTTTGGACACTCGTGTCCTTGTGTTTGGACACCTTGAACCCTTGACATCCTGGGACTCTTAGTTGGACACACTTATGTTTACATGTGACCGGCGGTCAGTTCAGGGACGGTGTGGTGAACGTGTCCTCTGTGTCAGGTTTGCCGTCCATCCTGTATCGTTTACTGCATCATAAACCATGTTTTCTACTTTGGCTGAGTGAAAGAGCAGCTGGGTCATGTCAGGGGTCGGAGTCACCACTACCACTACGCTCCACCCCTCTTGTTCTAGTGTTGATTTTCACTGCCCACAACTCAGGAATGAATGTCCTCGTCTTGGTTTCCGTGTTTTATTGCTACTCAGACACGGTTTCTGTTCTGTCCCATTTTGGCAGAGAGGCAACATGTGTTTGGAGGAGGAGGAAGGGGAGAGGAGGCGGGAGGAGGAGGCGGTACTGTAGTTGAAAGAGAGCAGCAGGAGCCCACGTCTCAGAAGCATCTAAGAAGAAGAAGAAGAAGAAGAAGAAGAAGAAGACATCAGGTGAGCAGAATTGAACTGGAACTGAACAAAGTTCATTTGGATCTGGAATAAATAAATGATTCAAATATATGAAATAAAGCCCTAAATTAAACAATAACAAAAGAAGAAGACAATAACAGGAAAAAACTAACTGTACTGTATGAGTTAGACAAAAGATATTTTACATTGGGAAAAAAAAAGAATCCTGAACAACTAAACTAATTTTTGTTTTTAATGTGAAAAAAAGGTATAAAACTAGAACTAATTTTTGTTGTAGTTTGTGAGGAAGCAGGAATCCCTAAAACTAGAACTAATTCTTGTTGTAGTTTGTGAGGAAGCAGGAATATATAAAAAAACATTTAGCAAAATGTGTTTACAGCTGATCTGTCATTTGACAAGATTCCATTCCTGTTGTATTCCGATGGTGTGACAATTAAGATTTAAAATTAACAATTGCTCATTTACTGCACTTTCATGACTTAAAAAAACATGAAATAAAAATTGAAAAATAGATGTTCTCATGGATTTCAAAAATTTTATATAATTCTATTATCCAAAAAATGTGAACCATGGCTCCGCTTTGAGAGTTTGCAGTGGTATGAAATCAGTTCTGTTTGTTTGCCCTGTGTTAAAATGATGTAAATTGACATGGGACGCAACTTTTAAGAATTTTATTTTTAATCACAATTCTAAAAAAAAGATCTGTTGTTATTTGGAGAATTGAACTGTACTAGAATCTGTGTCCATTTAAACCTTGTTGACAATATACCCAGAGTTTATATTTGACGGTATTATTATGATGTTCCTTATGATTAAATGACATTGGCTGACGGTCATTACATAAAGAAACTCTAAATTAGGAATCACTTTGAGAGCTGGTAGTTTGCCACAGTTGTTACGACCGATGACCTTCCTGAACCAGTCCACGGTCCCTTGAGTACAGCACCTGATAACATTGGAATGATTACTTAAGGCCCTCTTATATAATGTATTTAAAATTCCTGTGAACAGACTTGGAGACGATGATGATGGATATTAATGGAGTCAGCTGATGATGTGTCAAACCACATTAGAATGGCTGCAGTTAATCCACTCTATTGCAAAGTAAATTCCATTCTGACGACAGAATCCTGACTCTGTACAATTAAACAACAAGGATTCCTCTTTCTCCAAGTGAAGGCCAATAAGCTCATTAGTAAGAAACCCCAGGGGGCAAATTCATTTGACACTATTTACCAGATGATGAGTTCTTTGGACTTGAATCCAGTGTTGTATTTTAAAGTAATGTCTTTAAAATCCCCCCCCAAAAAAATCCAATCTTATTAATACAAATCCACCTGTAGCACATATTCCACAATAACACAGATGGAAAAGTCCAGCTTGTTGTCACTGTAGCACCAGCTGGAGCAGCAGTTCCAACCTCGTTGTGTGTTTTGGACCTGATATTCTCGACCAAAGCAGCGCTCCCGCTGGCAGATAGAGGCCTGTGATTAGTGAGAACGGAAGAATCTTAAGTGAGTGACAATAGTGTAGCACGTTGTCAGAATGTGAGTCAGGATTTACAGTCAGCAGCAGCAGCCTGGAGATACTGAGCTATTCCTGGGATGGAGAGGGAAAGAAGTGTCCTCTTAAATGACACAAACACTCCTCCACACTGTCAGCCATAAAAAGGAAAATCTCCTCGACATCTCAACAGGCCACAGTCAATTTGTCAAAATGAAGTGTTTCCATTTTCTCTCCTCAAAGGCAGGCGGAACAATGCTAACTGAGGATAAACCTTGTCCAAAAACCTCAGAGGCCCTGGAACTAATTAGCATCCGTATTAGTTATCCTTTGTCGTATTTTAAATCTTTTTTTTTATGGCTTTAATTGACAAACTGTTTGTCATTTTGTTAACCAGAATTTTTGCTAGCTTAGTTATTTTGGCCTTTTCTTCGATAGCTCTCATTTGCTAGCAATCTTGAGTGATCTCTAGTAATTTGTAGAATATTTCATGGCTTCTTCCAGATAAATACTTTTGCATGTATTTCCCTTTTGGTTTATTTTTAGGCTAATTTGTTTTTAGCTGATTACAGGGAGGTTTTTGTTGTTATTACCTGGCCATCCTTGGCTGTCTTTATAAAATCCTTGCCTGTTGTTTCTCACTGTTTCACTGATTTTGTTTTGGTCACTAAATGTGCTTTATTTAGTCATTCGGACTTTATTTTGGTAACACATTATTTGCCACACTGTGCGCTGCTGTTTAATCTTTGCTGCAAACAAAGAAGAAGTGGAGCAGTAGGTGATGAAAATGTAAAAGATAACATGGCAGAGGAGCCTGGAGTCTCTGATGTGACAGGAATGTCTGCTATTTGTAGAGGAGGGAATGGGGACACGGAGAGGACACCGAGGGGACACTATGGGGGACATTAAACGGGGAGGAAAGTCTGCGGTTACATGGAGAGACAGTAAGAAGCACTGACAAATCTAATGGCAGGCGTCCAGTGGCAACACCTCGTCCTGTCACGTTTGTAACTGAAAGCTGGGAGCAGCTCTGTGGTTGGGGGTGACCAGCGGGCCGGGCGGGGGATCGCGGGGGGTGACTTTGGTATTTTTAACCTAAAACCTACACAACAAATCTGTTACATGTCCCTGGATGTTGATCATAATAACACACTGTAGTTGTTGTGAGGAGCAATAATCAATTTCTGGAACATTAGCTGGAAAATTTCTTTCCCAAAACTTGTTGAAAACCTATTGGTTGTCGTCAGACAAGGTCACACATTCCTTCATGTGTTGAAGTTATTTTGGAGTAATCCTATGTTAAACCAACAGCTGCTGGGAGAAAATATCCTGCAATCCTTATGAATACATTATATATAAATACATGCAGTATCGAGTGTGTGCAC